TTGCGCTCAGGGGCCCCACACCTCTGGGGTCCCTATGAGGCCTCCTCCAACCCCTACAGCCTCACCCAAGCCTCCGGTCTAATATGCAAGCCTGAACATAAACTAGAGCCTCCTGGCTAAACCATAGTGCCCAATCCTCTCAGGGCTACAGTGAGCTGTACTTGCAAGTCAGGCTTCTTGCTATATCTTGGCCAAGGGAGCTCCTGCCTCTCTGGCTGCTGGCAGGGGAATGCCACCCTCGGTTCGGCCCTGCCTCCTACAGGCAGCTGGCTCCCCTTAGCTGCCCCGGCAACCCGCAGCTGGGCTCGTTACCCTGGCAACACTCAGCTGGGCTCGTTATGACCCACCAGGGCTCTCTCTCTCTCCCTGGCAGTTCCTCCCCTCTAGGAGCAGAGCACGGGGGTGCTCTGCGACAGAGGGGGAATCATCTGAGCTTGTGCTCCACATCCCTCAAGTTTCCCCTAGAGCCAGGTCTCCTACCCCAGAAGACACTTCAGAGGAGGCTGAGATAGAGGTTGCGGAGGCAAGCGGCTCAGCTGAGTCTGCTTCTCTTGTTGCTCTGCCTCTGACTGCTGAGGAGGGGGAAACTGCAGCATCCACACATACATCTGCACCCCAGAAGTGAGTGGGTAGTGTGGTCTGGGATCATTTTGCACTGGCAGATGATCCCACATATGCTATCTGCCTGAAATGCCAAGCCAAAACCAGCCCGGGCAAGGGAACAAAACACATGAGCACCACGGGGATGACGATGCATCTATGCAGGCACCACCCCCTTGCCCTTGCTCCTCCTCAGCCTGGCACCAGAAGAATGTACCCAAAGGGAAGTCCCACTCTTGCTTCAAAGCCCCCATCCCACCAAAGCAGAGGAAGGCCACCCTGGAACAGTTGGGGAAATGCCGACAGAAAGTGGGGCACATTGCAAGGGCGAGCGAGATCACCCAGAGCATTGGAGCATTAGAGAGATGCTTTCTGTGGCATTTTCCTTAGTTGAGCAGCCAGGATTCAGGCAGCTCAAGAGCCCGCATACACCATCTTTAGCAGGACAGTGGTGTCCTCCCTGTATGAGGCATGCAGGGAGTACTTGAGAGAAGAGCTGCACAAGGCAGGTCCACAGGTGGCCTTAACACTTCACCTTGGACATCTGGAGAAGCCAGGGTGGAAGTCATGCATACTTCTCCCTCACAGGACACTGGTGTAATCACTCAGGATGTCAGTGGGCTCACCTTCAAGACGAGGAGATGGATGAGTCCCACACAGCAACAAAGATCGTGGGGGCCACGAACTGCTTGGTGCAGGGGTGGCTCATTGGGCAGGGCAAGCTCACCCATGGGTTTATAGTCACCAACAATGGGGCCAATATAGGGAAGGTGGCACGTGATGCAAACTTTGTTGGCATCTGCTGTGTGGCACACAAGTTCCACCTTATAGTCAGGTACACCTTGCAGGGGGATGGCTGCCAGTGACATCGCCAGCACTGCCAGCAAGCTCATTTCAAAATGCAGGAAGGTGGCAGGCTACTTCCACCAGAGCATCAAGGGGGGCAAGATGCTGTGGAACAAACAAGCAGAGCTGAATATCCCAATGCACAAAATCATGCAGGATGTGGAGACTCAGTACAACTCCGCATACCTGATGCTCGAGAGGCTGGTGGAGCAACAGAAGGCCACCCATGAGATGGCCTTGCTCGGGGAAGATAGGAATCAGTGGCCCCTTTAACAGAGCTGAATGGGATACCATCTCCCAGATCTTGGTGGTCCTCAAGCCCTTCCTCGAAGCCACCGAGACCCTCAGTGCTGGCAATGCCCTCCTTAGCCAGGTGATCCCTGTAGTGAGGGAACTTCAGAGCCAAATGGAGAGCTTCCAGGGGATCAATGTTCCTGTCTGGGGCAAGCTGCTGTTATGAGATGTGGAGGCACTGGTGTGGCAGCTGAAGGAGGGTATCAGGAAATGGCTTGCTCCCCTGCAGTCCAGTATGGTTCGTGTGCTGGCTGCCATGTATGGCCCGAGGGTGAAGGGCAGCATATGCAGCAGTCAAAGCCTGAATCAGTGGATGGAGGTTCTGGTGAAGAGAGTCAGGAAGGTAGAGCAGCAGAGCTGGAGGGATGTGGAAGAGGGGGATCCACTGTCCCATGCCAGCATGCCATCCAGCAGCCAGTCTCCTTCTCTACTACAGGTGCTGCCAATGTGGGCCAAGGGCATGGCTTCCATGGTGGGGTCCAGAAGCACCAGACTCCACCATCAGGCAGGTAGCGCTCATGCTTTGGTGGCTGCATATCTTGCTGAGGACATGGAGCTGCTGCTGTGTAACCCCTTGGGCTACTGGGCAAGTCACAGCTAGATGTGGCCAGATATGGCCACAGTTTCCCAGGAACACCCTTCCTGTCCACCAACCAGTGTTCCAAGGTGAGAGGGTGTTCAGCATTGCTCGTGATGTAGTGACACCCCACCACATCTCTTTGGATCCTGGTTTGGTAGAGCAGCTGGTGTTCCTCAAGGTGAACCTCCTGCTGCTGGGGTTCCCCAAGCTCCAGGTGCAGATGGAGTGAATGCCACCCTTCTCACTCTGTCTGCACCTATTTCCTTTTCTCATTTTTTAAAAACCATTTAATGCCCCGCTCTCAAACCTGGAGGGGGCACTCACTACATCACTAGCCAGCAGAGGAAGAACATGTCTCTGCTGAGCTCTGATGCCAGGATGAACTTGGAGCCATGGACTGGGGCTGTGAGAAAAGAGGAGGCCCCAGGTCCTGGGCATGACCACTAAAACTTCACTCTGGGAGGCCTGGTGGGACTGATGGCAGTACAACAGCCCTGTAAATGCCAGGACTGAGGATCCCCCTGGTGAAAGTCAGGTAGGAGGCGCCATAACCTCCAGCTGCCACATGCATGCACACAGTCCTGGCTGGGGAAAGCCCAGACCTGTCATATCTTTGATAGGCCTGAGACTTGCTGGTTGCAGTGGATTTGTGGGGCTTCAGGTAAGCTCAGCTTACCTGCCTGGGATGCCAGCTTTCAGGTCAAAAAACCCTTTGTCAGGCTAAGGAAGCACCTGCAGTTGGTGTGTGTACTGTTCCTGGATGGAACAAATAGTAAAGAACCCAGAGGCTAGCCTGGCATGCAATGCAGACAAGAAATCCAGTCAGTGAAAATGGCAATGAAGGCATCAGGGGATGAGGGACAGGCTGGGGTGAGGGGAAGGGGGATGCAGCAGCACAGGTAAAAGTGCAGAGGTACCTAGAGAGTCGGATGTCCAGCAGGTTGTAATGTGTCAGAATTCCACTGTCTATACTGAGTTCATGAGTTTCTGTAACTATTCAGTTGGTCTACTAAAAGATATCAGATTAAATTGACTCAAATAACCTTGTCTGGCAGTGCCATGTCATTAGACCAACACCCCTAGCACCTGTCCGTGGCCAGCTGAACAGAAGGAAGCAGGGCCCTGGGCACATCTAAGCCCTAGAGCTGGGGCTGGCAGGGAGAGTTCTCTAGTAGCTGCTGGAGAAGAAGCTCCTGCAGGAAAGGAAAGAAGGGCTCTGTCACAGTTTGGCTGCCTGAGATGCTGCTGGTGCTACTGTGCTGCTTACTAAGTTATTACCTGTTGTCATGTAAAGTGGTGGACCAGCTGAAGCTGTAGGGGAGGAGGAGACTTCATTGAGGCACACTACCATGTCGTGCAGAGGCCCCAGCACCAGTGAGGGCATGCCTTAACACACACACACACAGTCACACATGTCATGAGTTGTACTTGTCAGTAGCTTGAGGTGCAGTTTCCCAGAAACCTCTGCACCTATCTCCTTGAAACACGGCAGGCTTCTTGGCCTCAGCAGGGGCTACACTGCCTGCAGTTTTCATCCTGCTGTGCCTTAACACACACACGTGACACGAGTTTTGCTTGTCAGCAGCTTGAGTTGCAGTTTCCCAGAAACCCCTGCACCTATCTCCTTGAAACTTGGCAGACTTTGTGGCCTCAGCAGGGGCTACTATGCCTGCTGTTCACCCTTCCGCCCCCCCCGATGCCTTCACACTTAGTTTTGCTTTCAAGACTTTGAGGTGCTGTTTCCCAGAAACCCCTGCACCTATCTCCTTGAAACTTGGCAGGCTTGAAGAGCCACCCATATGATCAGAAACTTGCAAGGCAAGCCACCCCTCATCTCTGATGTTTGCATCCAAATCAGGCAAGAAAGGACAAAGTTATAGGCAGTTTCATGCTTCCCCATTATAGCCTACTGGTGAAACGTTGAAACAGCATCAAAACAGTGAAACAGTTTCAACAAAATGAAACAGAACATTGCTTCAAAACTAAATGAAACTCAAAATGAAACACTGTCCCATCAAAATGGTGAAACAAAAGTTAAAACAAATGGTTCTGTTTTGCACAGCCCTAGCTAGCAAACAGGTGTGAACTGTGTGCATGTGTGTGGATGTGGTTTTTTTCTACCCATGTACTAAGCAGTATCTGACAGGTTTTCCAGCATTTTTTATAAGTTAATTTAGAAGGAATATCTTTTTTCCTATTCACAGAGGGCGCATTACCAGCATGTTCTTTCAGAATAGTGATTTATGTTCCTATTATACCAATCAAAAATATTGTGTCCATCTCCTTGCTAACTCAGTTATTTTTCCTCTTTTCTTGCAGAATGATTCCTGGGGAAAGCAGTACTCATATGCACTCTTCAAAGCTATGAGTCATATGCTTTGCATTGGTTACGGAGCCCGGGCCCCTGTCAGCATGTCTGATCTTTGGATTACCATGTTGAGTATGATTGTGGGGGCTACATGTTATGCCATGTTTGTTGGTCATGCCACTGCCCTAATTCAGTCTTTGGATTCCTCTAGACGGCAATACCAAGAGAAGGTAATTATTGTTTTTAAATATAACTATTTTATTTCAAAAAGTTATTACCAAGATTTTTAAATTTAGAATAAAGCTTCACATATTACCATGATATAACCTAGCAGTGATCTTTATTGGGTATGCAGAAATACAGAAAAACGGGTGGACCAAATCATCCTTGGAGTGAATCCATAAAAGTCAGTAAATATGCAGGTCTAAAAATGTGAAACATAAGTTAATAATTGTGTTTTGAGGTTTAAAGTGTAATGTGAATCACTGATCCTTGAGTCCATTACTAACCAACTGCTAAAAATGGAAAATTAAGTTGCTGCAGTGTCAGTAATGGTTTCTGCAAATTTCTGAAATACTCAGAAAATATTGCTATTTCCCTAGACACCCTTGTGTTCCAACAGACTGCAGTAATACTGTTATTGTTCTGGTGGGAATAAGGACTGCAGGATCTGACCCTTTTGAGTGGTTTTCAGTTGCGGTGCCACATAGGGTGCTGCAAGTCTATAAACCTATATCTAGACTGCAATCCCAGGACAAATCCAAGAAAACTTTAACTTGGTTGGGTCTTCATCATAACATGCCTGAGGAAGCACAGGGTTCAGTGCAACCTACTGGGACCCTCTGTATATATTCAGGTATCTAGTTTATACAAAGCTTCATGCTTTCATGATGATACTGAAGCCTACTAATTTAAATCTGGTTTGAGCATGTGTATTTGAGTCTTTGGACTGTAGAAACATACTCCAAGGGATATCTCAAGGAGTTCTTAATGAAAGAATAAGAAGATAGATAAATCCAGGGGAAAGGGAATAACAAATACTGATTCATTATTATGATACAGGTTAATTACAATTGATTTATTTTGGGCACAGTAAAAGTAAATGTTTTAAAGGAACTAATAGATAGAAAAATCTTGCTTTTATCTATGTGGAATATATGGACTCAAACAAAAATTTGGCAGAAAAGCGGCAGGGCGGGGGAGGAGGGAGCTAATAATTTCTAGTGTTGATGACAAAGAGTCAATGGCCTGTATATGCTGGGCAAGCAAGAAGAAAAAATAAAAAATAATCAGAGTAATGGAGATGATGGTGGAGTTTTCTCTAGAGACAGAGAAGTGGAGATGGTGATGTTTTTGTGGAGGAAAGTGAGTTTGTATTTGCTATGTTAAGTTGCAGCTCACAGCAGGACAACTGGAAGGACTATCTTAGACAGAGATGTTTGATTTGATGGAAGAGGTATGTCAGTTCTGGAAAGAGATTTTCTAATCCTTGGCATAATGGTAATTCTTAAATATCTTTCAGTATTAAAGATTAGCCATGTCAAGTGCAAAGTGATGAAATAAAAGGTTGGCAATAGAAGTTTAGAGAACTCATAGAGTTTCTCAAATGTTGAGTAAGGACACCATCTCAAGATGGAAAGGAAGATCAGAGTATTTACTTAGATATGGCAAGATTTCAGTAGTATGGGAAAGGATATTGATGTATATTTCCTACATCCATCACCAAAAATACTCCCACAAAAATGTAACCGCTGTATCATAGCAAACTCAGAGATATAGATTCCCTTACAGGTGCAAAATAAATGATGCTTAACACTGGAGACAGCACCTGACCCCAACAGCTGTAGCCAACAAAATAAGCTCAGTCATCAGGGTGCACTGTATCAGGGGAGAGTGCTGTACATGTTTGATCCCTCTTCCCTCAACAGAACATAAGGAAGTGTGCTTCCTGATATTCACTCTTGCTCAGTAGAAACTGAGCAGACTAGAAAAAAAGAACTTTGAATGATAATGAATGAGAATGACTGCTGCTTAACTGAAGCAGTATTAGCCTTGTTGAGACACAAAATTGTACTGATTTAACTTTACTGTATCTCCTGAGTAGGGATACAATTATTCAGGTATAGTTGTATGGACATACATACACACAGAGAGAAGTTATGTCAATATAAAGAAAACATCTTTGTATCCTTTATATCAACCTTCAGAATAGGGGTTATATATTCAAACCTGTAACAGAAGAGATGTTCAAATGAACAGATAAACCAGTTTGAAAATGGCTGAAACTGGTTTGAGATAAACCTGGTTGAATGTAGTATCAGACTTAACTGATTTGGCTCAAAGTGGTTTATGCAATGTCTGTCCCAGACCTCTTGCTGGTTTAAGATAAACCAGACTCCCCCAGCATCTAAGCATGCTCTCTGGGCTAGGCAGGGCTATCTGCTCCACAGCAGAGCTGGCCCCTCCCCTCTTCTCCCTGGCTGGAGCTCTGGCAGAAACTGCAGGTACAGCTGGGTCTGCCTGGCTTCCCTTCCTGCTTGCTGCTCAAGCAGGAATCCTCACCTCCCATCTCTCACAGCGCAGATCCCAGCCCCAGGGACCCTAGACATGTGGTATGCTAGCTAATGCTGAGAGGTGTCTGTGTGTCTCCAATTTCACTGGGACAGGAAGACAGAACAGTGTCTGCTTAGGGCTTTTTGGTGCTAATCAATAGGTCAGCTGGTAAGCTGTTTAAGAAGAGTTTGAACTAATGGAGAAAGGTTATTGTTTTGCTGATGGCGTGATAAACACTGTTCTCAGCCCCCTGCTGCCTTGCTTGCCTGTCAGTTTGCTGCAGACAGTATAAAGAAGCAGGGAGGGAGATTGAAAAGCTTTGTATCATCAACAGATGCACACATTGCCCCCCCTGGTTGCCTCAGAGTGCTAGCAGGAGGCTGGGGCTGGCAACACTCCTACCCCTTGAGCAGCCAGCAGGGAAGAACCTGGGATGGTTGAGGCAGACCTCCCTAATCAGAGGTCCTGTGGGACCTAGCCATGCTCCATCTCAGCTCAGCTCCCTGCAGAAGGGAAGGGAGGGCTGCTTTAATACTCCACGGCTTCTAGCCTGAGCCACTGCAGGCATATGCCTGAATTTCCTGAGTCCAGAGAGAATGTTCGGTTGCAAACTGGTTCAGCCTAGCCAGGTTAGACTCGCCTGCAAAGATTGAATCAATTCAGGCTCAGGTTTTTTGAAAGTCTGTCCCTAGCCCTAGAGGGGCCCTTAGATAAAGGGAGATAGATAAGTTTCAGTTAGAACAGAAACTTCATTAGGGGAGCTCTCCATCACTTTGCCTCTGATTGAAATGTCAAGTACTTGGTCCTGTTCTTGGATTGAGTTGATCACATTGGTATATTCAAGAGAAATTATAATTCTTTTAGTTATGCTTTTAATGCTCCCAAGTGGTTACTGGTATTGACATTTAATCTAGTCAATTTATATAGATCAGCAGAGAGTATTAAAACATCTGGAGGAGATGCACATTTTTATATTAAGTGTTTCTTGATTTCTCATATAAATCATAAACAATTTTGTTTCTGAGCGCTAGTTCAGTGAAACCTATTATTGTTGAAACTTAATATTTATTATTTAATATGTTAAGATAACTACGTGTACCATTATAACACATTGACCAAAATATTGAAGTGCCAGTGTATTTCTTTTAATGAAATGTACATTCATAAAATGGTTAATAACCTATTCTATTTAAACTATGCTATGGACTCTTTTTCAAGAAACAGTCGGTTTGTTTATTAATGTCCATGTAGCCAGATTGCATTAAACAGCTCAAGTTCAGGCATGACAATAAGACAGCAAAGACAAACAATTATTATCTCTGCAAAACAGGTTAAGTTGAACTATAAGAATTTTTTCCTTATATTGAGATTACTCTTTTCCTAACTTAATTTTACCTCCATGTTCCTAAATAGAACCACTGCTATTATTTTACGTTAGTTAATCAACCAAGTTGTGAAATAAGATTGGGTCTGACATGGACTTGAAGTATCCCAATGGGTACCCCGCTCTCTTTTGATACCTTGCTATCCATTAGTTTATGGTACTTTAGGCTCTTTTCAAGCAAACTAATTCATTTTATTCAAAGAACAATATTTTTATGAGATGCTATTGCATAGAGAAAAAACAGTAGTTGGAAGCAAAGTTTATACAAATATAGCTCACAGCTCACTATTCAGGTGTTATTTAGTGATTTGAAGCTTTAGAAATGTTTATGTTAATTTTTGTGTCAATTTTGAGCATCTAAAATATGCCTACAAATAGATAATGGCATGGGTTAGGGCCTTGTTACACATTGCACTTTGAGCTGCTCAGCTTTTGACCTGTGTTAATACTAGCTCAAGTTTGGAGTAGTCACATCTTAAAGCTAAAAACATTATCTGGCTGTCCCCTGCCTGCACAGCTTTGACTCGCCACTACAGGGCAGGTGAGCCAGAACAGGAATATACTGGGGTTTGAAATTGGGATGTGGGGAGTGCTGGTTATGCTTCCAAGGGTAGCTAGGAGATGGGAACTATGATGGAAGATGCTTCTGGGGGAGCTGCTGCCTCTGCCCCAGGAAAGAAGCCCCAGCTCATGGGGACCCAGTCTGCCCCGCTGTCTTGTCATCCCTCGCCCACCCATTCTTCCTAGGCCCCACTCCTGGACTCATTTGTGCCTTGCAACCGAGCTGGCTGGGATGTGCTCTGCAGGCTATTTGCACAGGGTTGCGCCCTTCGTGGGGGAAGGTCACACTCCTGGGGGCAGGAGTGGGGAGTTGGCTTGGTGCCAGAATCATTCCTGGGGCAGTACAGTTTAAGGAAGATCCAGAGGGGGATGCAGTGGCATGGTTGCAGCCCCTTTTCAGACTGTACTGTGGAATCAGCAGTCAGGGAATTTTGAGTCCCTGAAGTAAGTAAAAATCCCACCCTCTTGGCACTCACTCCCTTTCTTCCATTATCAGAAACCCCTCCCTTTCCCTCCTCTCCCATTCTCCCCAACATCTTCTGCTTCTACTGTTTCTCAGCTAACTCAGGAGTGGGAGAAGATCCAGAGCCACTCCTGCCCTGCTTCTACCTGTGGAGAGCCAGACCCAGCCAGGGCCAGCAGCAGTGGCAACAGTGGGCGCATTCCCCCGCCCTGCTCAGTCCTCATAGATTTAATAGATTTTTTAGGGTTGCAACAAACCTTAGTAGATCA